CTTTGCAGTAATAGGAATAAAAAATGTGTCATGCACTGGCTGTGATGGGGACACACAGCATTCAGAAAGCTGAGGCAGGAGAATTGAAGCAGGTCCAAAGGATTGCCTAGGCTACGTAATAAGTTCCAGGTCAGCCTAGGCTAGGCTATAGAGTGAGACACTGTCTACATTTCTCTGTGTGTCTCTCTCTGTCTTTGTGTGTGTCTCTCTCTCACACACATACACACGCATTAAAATATAGCTACTGAAAAATAAGAACCCCAAAGGAGAAAGATTGACAAGCAGCCTGAAATAAAATAAAAATATAATGACCCTAAAAAAAAAAAAAAGACCAGAAATAAAACAATAACCCCATTTTTTAGCCCTTCTACCCAGCATGGTACTGGAGTTCCAACTGGAACAGTTAAGCACAGTTAAGAGAAAGAAGAGGTGTTCAAACTGGCAGGGAGAAATAAAGTGGCTTCTGATCACAGGGAAGGTTTTATATGCAGAAAGCCCTAAACACTGTTCAAAATACTGCTGGGATTAATAAACAAAACATAGTAAATTAAGAGGACACAAAGTCAACTCAAAAGTCAGTTGAATTTTCATAAATTAAGAGTGAGAAATCCATAAAGCACAGAAATCAAGAATGCAGATTCTCTGACAGCCACATCAAAAGCATATAGTACATAGGGGTTAACTACAGAAGGAGCAGAAGACTTGCATAATGGACATTATATGACACTGATGAAAGAGAGGGGGGGAAAAGAGAGAAATGACTCCTGAAGGTGTCCTCAGGTCTCAGAACATTACTCAGACTTAATAATGAGTCTTCAACACATTTCATTAGTTTAAATAAGCCAGGCAGAAAAGGACAAATACTATCCAATTCCATTCACATGAAGCATGAAGAATAGTGAAATTCTTAGAGATAAGAAAGAGATTAATGTTTGTCACAGCTGTGGGTAGAAGGACTTTGGAGGTTACTGTTTAATGGCTTCAGAGTTCAGTTTGAGATTATAAGAAGCAAAGGTCGACAGTCGTGATGCCACATAACACTGTGACAAAGCCACTGAACACAGCCTCAGAGAAGGGTTGAGATGATACATGTCAGGTTATATGTAGATAACACTAAAATCAAAAAAGGGCTCTTATGTCCCTGTGTTGTTGTTTTCACTTGACCATTCAGTTGCCCCTGCTTTCTTTTCATTTCTGCCCTTTTTTTTTGTGCTTTTTTTTTTTTCTTAACAGGATCTCCTGTGGCCCTAGATGATCTTGACCTTGCTGTGTAGCCAAGGCTGGCCTCGAACTCCTGATTCTCTTTCCTCCATCTCCCAAGTGCAGGGATTACAGTCATGCACATCACTATAACCCACTATACAGTGACTTACAAAGTAAAAGACATTTCCTGATGGGCCCCAGGATGCCACCTTCATAGGCCATGTGTCTTGGTCTTAAGGCTAGGGAGATGGGCCCTTATAGATTCTTCAGCTGTAATCCACACCAGTGACGCCTGGAGTTTGTGGGAGTTCATTTTAGAAGGCTGAAGCTCTTTTAGCTGATGTGGGTTCATGGCTGACTGTTACATAGCACACCCAGCTATGGTGTGTGGAGGCACAGGTCAGATTCTGTGGGTTGCTTGGTGATACCTTCCTTGCTGGTTTGCACAGCTGGCATTGCAGTTGTGGTGGGTCCCCTTCATTTCCTTAGGGCTATGTTGGGCTGGCATGGCACAGTGAGTCTATTATAGGGCAGTGATCCGTCCCTTTCTGACCATCCAGATCTAGGCTCTACTGCACACTTTACAAGCTGGGCCACCTGCCAGGTCCCACCGGCCCCACCACTTTGATTTCTTAGAAAGGGAGGAGTAGGACCGACAGGCTGGTCAAGTGGGGCAAGGCACTTAGTATCCTTGCGCACGGGCACACACGCACACACATGCACTCACACACACACACACAGTAAAGAAATGTAAGAAAGCATGTTTAGTTTAGAAAGACAAGAGTTGACTCCTGGATAAAGTGCTTGCTGCAAAGCATGAGGACCTGGGTTGGACTCTTAAAACTTACAGAAAAAGCCAAGCATGGGATTGGCGAGGTGATCCAGCAGGTAAAGGTGCTTTATACAGTTTGTGGTCTGATCTCCAGAGCTATTGCCAGTTGATGGCTGCTGGAGAGGGAGAGTCAGTTTTCATTAGGGGTGTGATTCCTGGTAGGCTGATCAGGTTCCAGTGTCTAACCCCACACCCAAATGTACAAATAAATGCATTCAATGGTATAGTTAAAAAAAAAAAAAGGACAGAACTTAGGAGGAGGTATGTACATACACACATACACACACACACACACACACACACACACACACACACGCTGCACACCTGTAATTCTAGCACTGGGAGGTGGGAATATGGATCTGTGGAAGTTCAAATGGCAATTTGGGGAGGACGTTAGCATTTAGTTCACAAGAGGGGTTCCCCCACCCCCTTTATGTATGCTGCTTAATTATATCTTTCCGGTGACTTTTGCCAAGGTTACAGAGTCTACTTTCTGGATTCTATCATGTGAAAAACCCATGTCCAACATTATACAATTAATTCCTAATTCAACAACTAAGCACTTGGGGTTGAGAAATTCAGTTTGGCAATGGCCTAATTTAATGACCACATGGCTCTGCACTGTGCTTTATGTTTTAACTCTTATGATGTTGAACAAAAGAAAAATGGTCACCATATTTCTAACCCTGATGATTTTTCCACTCAGCACTTTACATGAAGAGGTGGAAATAGTTGGCAATTTGTTGGCTGCTAACACCTGTCTGGATCCTCACCCGGTCCCTGGACCCCACTCCTCATTTTTGTATAAAAAGAGTGGTTTCAACATGATCTTAGGATATATTTCCAGTGTTTGCTAACTTACCACTTTATAAACAGAATCCATTAGGTCAGTTTTTAGCTCAGTAAACATCTACTTTGTGTGAATATCTTACAAGCTAAAGACAACTAGAAAGCTAAAGGTAGTGACCCTGTTTTTAACTAACTTAGAAACTTTATTTAGCATGAAAAATTAACCATAAGTGGACAGGTTTTTTTTCTTTGTTTTGTTTTGGTTTGTTTTGTTTTTTTTTTTCAAGATGAGGTTTTTCTGTGTAGCCCTGGTTGTTCTGGAACTCACTCTGTAGTCCATATTGGCCTCAAACTCAGAGATCCACCTGCCTCTACTTTTCAAGTTTTGGGACTAAAGGCGTGTGCCAGCACTGCCCAGCTAAAGTCTGCTTTTTTTTTTTTTTTTTTTTTTTTAATGACTCAGAAGAAGAAACAATCATGTAGTGAGGTCTGGATATCATAAACTGTGACTCATGGAACCTAGTTGTGTTTGGGTATTTGTTTGCTTCCTGGTTTCCTATAGTTTGAAAATTGTACAATAAAAGGTAAAAAAAGGAAAGTCCTTCTTACAAATAAATTATTAAAGCATAAATTCTAGCCTGGCGTATAATCTTTATTTGTTTGAAACCATCTTGTGTATCCTAGGCTGACCTTAGATTCACTAGGCAGTTGAGGGTGACCTTGAGCTTCTGGTCCTCAGGCTTCCACCTCCCTAGTGCTGAGTCCCATAAAGGTATGAGCACTGTGTAGCAGCTTGAGGATTCTCAGGCAAAGCCCATCTGGATGGCCCACTGCTGGATTTTTGTTGACTTCCCATGTATGAGAACAGCAAGGAGCTCGTGGCAGAAGGGAACAGGGCGAGTTTTGGCATGAGAGGCTCAGCACATGCCCACTGTCATATATTGTGATACTGCTTGTGCACTAGTCCAAGAACAGCATGATATAATGAGTGATTCTCAGAATGTGCCAGCTTGGGGGGGGGGCAGTTGTCACAGGATCCCAAAGACCCTACAAAGGAGTCTTTGTGGTCAAACTATTTTTGTGTTGATACTTAGACATCATTTGCAAACCACTGTCAATCTTAGAAGTACATAGTGGAATGTCCCAGAGATTTTGTAAGGAGAAATGGCAACTTATATGCAGAGGAGATAAGAGACGCCATTGTTTTCTATTAAGCAAAACACTAAAAAGACTTGTGAAAATATAAGCCATTATCTCCTTCTGACTTTTTTTGTTTTGGAAAATAGAAATATTTTCTTCAAACTAAGTTATATGTTAATCTGTAAAATGTTGTTTTGAAATTTTTTGAGATGCATGCAATTATTTAACACTAAAGAATTTTATCAGTCTTAATTTTACTAGGTTAATAACAATTGATATGATGCCAGGAGGAGCTTGCTTGATACAGTCACAGAACTGTTGTCTTGGCAACCAGAAGCCCATGGGCTTACGTTTTAGTCAGGGCTTTGCCTTCTGACCATAGGCGACTGTAGTAGCTTCTGTAATTAAATTGATTTCTTATTATGTAGATGGTAGTCATTTTACCCTCACCTATGCCCCTGTAGGAAAGCGTGGTGATTCAGTATACAAATGTTGAGAACATAGTCCCCTGTACTTACGGAAGCTCCATAGATAAACAAGCCAATTTTAGGAAAAAATGAAGTGTTGCAGGCTAGTTAGCTTGCAATATGTCTTTTGTCTTATTTTGGTATAAAATTCCTATAATTTTCTTACATATCTCTCTCAGTTTCCCAGATAGCCGTATCAGTAAGCAACTGCACATTTCATTCCTTTCAGTCAAAAGGAGGTATGTCATCCTAATACTGAAGTAGTGTGATAAGGCCAGGGCCACTGTCTGAGGGAAGCCACTAGCTCCCTCCCTTCCTGATGCTTAGAAGGGTACTTAGCCTGTCTGTGTTCCGGCTCCTTGTGTAAAATAGGCTTAGAAGGTAGTATGCAGGAAGCACCTGGCAAAAGCAGGTGATGGGAGGCTGGGACTTCATTAAAGGTAGTTGCAATAGAGCAGAAGATGAAAAATTAAATGTCTCTTTCCCTGCCTCCATGAACTTCAGCTAGGTTAGTCACAAGTTTATCCGCAGTATTTCTCATTTCCCTTTTTCTGTTTCTGTCTTTGAAGGGCTCTTGAGTGGACAGACATCCCCAACAAACGCCAAACTGGAGAAGCTAGACTCTCAGCAGGTGTTGCAGCTCTGCCTCCGGTACCAGGGCCACCTGCACCAGTGCGCAGAGGCAGTTGCTTTTGATCAGAATGCTCTAGTCAAGCGAATCAAAGAGGTAACATCCCTGTGGGGGGAGACCATCCCAGATGCCCAGCAGTGGTAAGACATGCTGGTAAGAATGAGTCTTAGGTGTGAGCAGCCTGGAGTTTGACTCCTACTTCACAGCTGACTTGGTCAGGCTTGTTTAATTTCCCTGCAATGAGAAATGGACCTAATAGTAGTAGCAAGTGTGCGGAGACTGCTCTGTGGCTGTTAGCCAGATTAGTATTAGAAAATCTAGCCATCATAAATTTGCTCTAGTTATATCTGTATTTAGCTTTTCTTGTGTATAATTTCTACACTTTTCATAGTAATTATTTACTTTGAATGTAGGAGCCTTGACATATTCCTTTCTCTTACTTTTCACTATGCTAGCACAGGAAGAGCTCAGTGGTTCTTATTTGCTGTAAGTGATTCTGCCTATTTAACCCTAAAGGCTTTTGTGAATACACACCAAGTATCATTCATGTGAAATGGCCTATAAATGAAGAACATGGCAGAGGCCTGGGGCTGCCGATTAATTGGGAAGCGGCCTGGTTAGCAAGCATGGGTTGCGGGGTTCCACCCCCAGCACCATGTAGACTGGACATGATTGCTATATACCTGAGCATATCCCAATGCTCAGGAGAGTACGACAGGGTCAGAAGTTGGAGGTCATTCATTCCCAGCTACATAGCAAGTTGGAAGCTAGCCTTGATACACGAGACCCTATCAATAAATAGTAAATTTAAAAACATGGTATAAATGTATAGTTCCCAGTAACTATAGTAGGTTCTTGACTTAAGCACTGAAATGATTTATTGGCCAGGCGATTACATGGCACAGTTTTGGGAGCACCAAGGAACAGGCTGATATGCATTCTAAAATTTTCTATCAAGGAAGAACTCATCTTTCTGTTGTGAGGTAATGTCACACAAAGGAAAGTTTGAGAGCTTTATCTAGGGGAAACTGCATAGGAGGATGGCACCCCTCCATTGTTCAACAACTGGCCTTGGGTCATCAACTCTGGTAAGAGAAGATAAATGTGAATAACGCAGGTGATGGGTTGCCCATCACTGCACATTGCTTTCCAATTAGTAATAAAGATAGTCTGTTCTTGGAAATTTTGAAGTAATCATCCGCTATAGCAGCAGGTTTAAATTGGCCAATACTTCCACTAGTTAGCACTATTTTTCATAAAGGTATGAATATATGCATTTTCTTTCATACATAAAAAAAACTTGGTTAGTTTGACTTACATCTCAGTGGCAAATTACCTGACATAAATTTATTTTAGTTTCAGTACATAGCCACTTGGCTTCATTATTTCTAGGTTGTGTGAGGCACAGCAGTATAGCAGGAAGTGTGTGGTGGAGCAGAGGTACTCAGCTTGGGGCAGCTGCGAGGCAGCTATCAAGGGGCCAAGAAAAAAAAAAACATCCTTCAAAGGCATGCCCCCAGTAGCCTACATCTGACAGCCAGGCTCCAATCTTCCTGTACATGCTGTCAAGGTATCACTCTATTAAGGAGCTAATCCACTGATTATGTCAGAGCCCTCATGATCCAGTCCCTTCCAGTGAGTGGATCCATACACTGGAGACCAAGTCTTCAAAACGGGAACATTTTGAGGAGGACTTCATATCCAAATCGTTGCAAGTGCTAATATCTGAAACTATTCAATATGATGTTTCTCACTGCTTGGCATTGATGTAGCCTTAAATATATATTTTAATACAAGGCCCCATGTAGTCCAGGCTTATATATAGCTGAGGATAACCTTAAACTTACAGTTCTCTTGCTTCCACTTTCTAAGTGCTGAGATTACAGGTGTGCACCACCACTCCCAGTGCTAAGAATGGAACCCAGGGCCTTCGGCATGCTAGGCAAGTGCTCTACCAATTTAACTATATTTCCAGCTCTGACCTTTCAAATAATATATACTTGTTCAATTCTATCATGATATGTAGAGCTCTTATCCCCAAACTTGAGTATGCTTAAGTATCACTTCAATTTCTTCATTTGAATGATGTATTCTCCCCTCCTCAACTAGGGTGTGACCCATGAATCATTGTTTTAATATGCCTGCCAAATGATACCTAATGCTGCCCTTCATTAACTGGGATGTGGGAACCACTGGTATAAAGGATTACCTTCCCAAACAAGTCCTAAAACCTCATCTCATGTAGGTTGTAGTTCTTGCATATTCATCACCACACCTTGGAAAGTCACATCATAGGCATGTTATAGGGAAATGTGACCTAGTCCCTGTTCTCTGAGAGCTTAGTCTAGCTGGGGAAACGAGCAAACAAGCAAACAAAAAACACAGAACAAAATTACAAACCTACATGTATCAATGAAGCATTATCAGTAGAGTGCTGTCAACGGAGAGTGTTTGGTTGTAATGTATAATGGAATTTCTGCAACCGAGATCAGGATATCTTGGAGCAACTGGGGTTAAGTGAAATGTTAGAGAAAACAGGTCTTGGGATATGAGTATAGACAGGTAGGAGACAGTTTGACAGCACTGGAAGAAAATTAGCTTTGGGCTGTATCATGTTGGAACACTAGTCCCTGGCCTCTGTGTTTGTGAGCCATTTCATATAATGGTGCTGTGGACACTAGAGCCACGTGGCAAGCGGCCAGTCCTCACACTGTCTCGAACTAGTTGTGTAGCCTCAGAATGGTTTACTCAACCCTTGTAAGCCTCGGTCTCTTGGTCTGTTCAGAGCTGTGAGAACAGCAGAGACTTGAGGAGGGTTAAAGTGAGTTACTCTAGGTGCTGTGCCTAAAACTGGGCCTTCTGTCCAGGCTGCACCACAGTGCAGTCATTGTCTTCAGTACAATGTGGCTGTAACACAAGAGCCTGACCTTCCCATGAATTGGCTCATGTCAAGTTTCTTGACTCTAGTAGCAGGCTAAGTACTGGCCCATTTGGAACCCTGCCCTCACCAACGCGTGTGATAAAGACCTGACTAGAGGCAAGGCAGACATTTTCTGTGAAATGTAGTTTCCCACAAATCCTGAGTGATTTCTTTCATGCCAAAAATATGTGGTTTTTGGAATTTTTGTAGTTAATTTATCTGTTTGGTCTGATTCTAGTAATGCTTGTGCATAGCAAACTGGTTCACTCCCTAGCAAGCTTGGGTCTTCTGGAGAAATGGAACAGATGGTAGTAAAATAGTAGTCCCTGTCTCCTAAGCAGTGGACACATCACTTCTGACCACATTTGGTAGCTTTCTGGGTGTCGTCTTGTGTCTGTTAATGATTGAAAAGGTGATAGACACTTTACGTTTTAGGCTACATTGATCATTGAAGTTCATGTTTACTGAAGGAGATTGCTTGACTGCTAGTGTGTTTTTCTTTGGGGACAGGGGTTGAACAAGACTATTCCTTTCATCTTTGGGTGTTCAGCTGGGCCTGCTTGCAGAAGACCACCACAGCCGTGCCTGTTGACTATATTTCCCTTCCCTCATAAAAGGAGAGGGTGGAGAGGGTCATGGGATCCTCACTTGAGTAGCCAGCCATTCCTCCCAACCAGGTGCATGCAATTCTGCATTAATTGCACATGGTCTTCTGGGTGGGACTAGAGGATAATGGGGGGTTGTGGATCATGCGGAGAAGGGTTCCAGCTGTGCAGTCATGGGAAAGCCATTGTCTGTGCTGGGGTGCAGGCCTTCCAGTCTGGCTGCTTTACGGTTGTCTATGGTCCTGCTTATAACTCCGCACCTATGCTCTGTATGTAAGTGTAATGAGTTCATTGGTTCCCTGAAGTGAACTTTAGTGGAATCATATCCTGGTTTGTCCTTAGAACTTTAGGAGGGAGGGGGGAGATGCTGTTTACACATTTCTGTCTCGCTCAGGGAAGGTTTTTTAGCAACAGTGAGAAACTAGAGAGGATGCAAGTGGCAAAAGACACAGCTGAGACAGTGGAGCTTTTCCTGTCACACTGATCTGGGTCATGGTTTGGTCACATCTCTCCTTTAGATGCTGTCCCTGGACACATGTTCATAGCGTCTTACCCTGGATAATGCTATTAGGAGTATTTTGTTGCAGTTAATCTGCTATTGTATCCTCGCTTAAAGACCTTAAGAGTAAACCCAGCTCTGATTCTAGTAATGCCTGTGTTTTCAATTCTTAGATGTGTTGGCATTAGTGTGTCCTGTTAGCATGGGATGTTGAGAAGCATCAGGAGTTCTGGTGAAGAGTTGGAATCCCTGCTCAGAAAGCCACGCCTTCATATAGAATTGGAAACAGGCCGTAAAGAGTCTCCAATTGACTGCACAGATCAAGAAACTCCAGTCCTTAAAGTTTACTTGGGCTTGCCCAAGACGTCTCTATTCTTAGTGGCCACGCTGCTGATAAAAGATGGATTGTGTATATTTGTGTGCACATATGTTTGTATGCAGGTGCGCATGGATGTGTGCATGTGTTCGTGGTGCCGAAGCCCAAAGTCAGCCTTAGGTGTCATTCTGAGAGGCACCGTTTACCTTGTTTTTGAGATAGGGTCTGGAACTCCCGGATTAGGCTGGCCTGGTTGGCCAGCAAGCCCCAGGGATCTCTCTAGTGCTGTAATTATAAGGGTACTATCACCACTGCCAGAGGGTTTTAAAATGTGGGTCTGAGGTCAAACTCAGAGCCTCACATTTCCATGACAAGGTCTTTACTGGCTGGGGGATATTCTGATTGCTACTATTCTTTTCCACACACTCTCTCCGCCCCCAGGATGGGAGCGGGAGTATGGGAGCCCACGGGGGTTTCCTTCTATACTGTAGACCTGGATGGAACCATTTGCCAAGTATGTGAGCTGACCACTGTACTGGGTAAAGACTGACAGAGGATAAGAGTGGTCCTCATAGTGTAGAGAATCCTGCCTAAGCTGGGATTAGTGTTCACACCGGGCCCTCAGTTCCAGGTCTGATTAGCATGAACGTAGGCCAGGCCTGCCACTGTACGCTGAACCTCCTTCAAATAACGTCAGCTGACTCCTTTGAACATATTCTGGCATCCATTTCTGCTTTCTTGACCTGAGATTATAAA